TTAGTGAAGTTCTAAAAAATTTTACACACAATTCTGAAACTCGGTATCGTTGAAAGAAACTTTTCGTATCAAACAAATATCTCTGAAGGGTTGATTCTTAATTCCAATAATAAGTACGTCAAACGTTTAAACGTTTAAACGTTAAGTACACTCTAATCCTAGATTTTCTGAATGTTTAGCTACTGGAATTCACCAACGAGCATATAGGAGAGTTCGGAAGTGCGACGAGGTCGATGCAGCAGTCGATAGAGCAAGCAGAGGCGAATATTCGATGGGTGGAAGCCAATCGCGTTACGATCCAAGATTGGTTGAAAAGGAATACCGCGTAACGACGAAACGAGACGGATTAGCACTGCGTAAAATAATGATCGATGTTCAAAAGGGGACAATTAAAAAAAAAAATTGCCCGAACACGAACACGAATCCCGGTCTCGTACGTGGAAATATATCGGAACTTGGTTTCGAGAACGTTTCACTCGCATTTTCGCTATGATTAAACGTAGAATGCGAACCAGTATCCGAGATTTATCACACAAGTATTAAGTGTTTTTGCATGTTTTTGTAAATACGCGTAATGGAACGTATAATAGAACGTTTAAGTATTTGGAGGATATTAGGGTAGGTTGAATTCCGTTAACTCTTATTATTAATTAGATTGTTTCGCGAATAATTTCGATTGTTCCCCTTTATCTTTCTCTCTTCATCTATCTATTTCATTGTAAGCTGATCAGGAATCTGTTTGCATTTTCTTCTCGTAAGATGGTATATAGCTGCTCAGAGAAGTATTCGGAGATTTGTACGAAATTTTTATAAATAATATTAATATAAGATACATTTTGAAATTTCATTGACACCATAACAAGATACGACTATCGTAACTATATTGATAAAGTTCGAAATAGATCTGAGAGTATATATGAGAATTATAAAATATGTTAAATGCAAGTACATATTTCGCAGATGTCAAAGAATTATTTGAACAGCCGATTATTCATGATTATCGATGAACATATCTAGTTTAGATTGCATTTGACACTGTGCACTAATTTCTTTTACTATAAGAAATGATTTCACAAGTTGTATAACCTTCTCAGATTGGTTTCATATTTTATCAACATAATCTTAACAATATCAATGAAATTTCAAGAAACATCATGCAACATATATAATATTATATATAAAAGTTTTTCAGATAAAGTTTCGAATATATTATTCGCGAGTCACTGTATTTACGTTTTGCTATGATAGATAATTTAGTCGAAATTCATTGCTTTCTGTTATCTATTTATTCGATAGAAAGAGAACTCTGCATTTTTATTCGATTTAGCATTGATGTTTTCTTCCTTTTTTTTCCTTTTCTCGTCGAAATACGTCATACTAAACGTGTTAATTATAAGCTGTACGAGCGAACGGATCTCCGATGTTGATTTGGGTCATTAAATTAGGCTCGTTGAACCTTCGTAATCCTACATTCTCGCGAGCGATCGAAATTCCATTTGCAGACGGCCAGAATCTCACAATTTAGAATCTTTCACCAGGAAGACTTATTGCCAATTTATTCTCGTAATTAATTTATGTACCGTAAACGTGTGTACTTTCGTTATTATTTATCCAGTGTTGTAATTGTCGAGCTCTCGTCGCTCGAAGTTTTTAAATCGCAGCTGGGATTGTTTGATCGTTTTTTGGCGAAAATTATTCGTGAAAATATTTATGCATACGCTATTTCGACGTCTGTTTCCATTTTTTTTTTTTTTTAAATTATCACGCACAATACTTATACAATATATACTTAAAAAAAAGAAAAAAAAAA